CTCAAAACTGATTAGTTATTGCCTTCATTCACCACACACAGTGAATGACGGTGTGATTGTATTATCCCCTTTCTGGATGACGTTCTAGGTAAACAAGTCATCTCAGGATATTAAAAAATAATTGGATTGGATTGCCTTGTGAACGTAGAATCTGACGACATCTTTTTATTCTGCTGCCTAGCTGCTTCTAAGTTTGGAACAAACAGACTCAAACTCTTTTAAGCAGAAATTTCTGAAGGTAAGATTGACGGTAATAATTTATGGCGTAAAAGAGATAGAGAGCTATATCCAACTGAGCAGCAAAGTTACGAGGGAAAATTTAGGGACTTGGATTGCTCTTGTCAAAGAAAAGTTCTCCTCTACATCTGTAAAATATCATTCTGCCAAACGATCACCCGTATCAGCTGTAGCCTGTACAGCACAGATGACGGCGGCCTTTCCACTATGTGAAGTCGAGAAAGATGGACAACCATAATTTACATTTGAGGTTGTCACTCTGTGCCAAATATAGCGATATGCACGAAACCCAAAAAATGTTATGACTATGTGCCTACTTAAGTGAACCTCAAGCTATACATTTAAGGGCTTTGTATAGTTGCTACTGCCACTTAGGGATAACAGAACGAGCCTCGATGAAATATATAGTACTGCTAAGTTTTCAAGGAGGGGTAGCAGACCATTTATGTGGTTGAATTGCCTTGAAAGCGTCGATCTGATGGGTTTTTCCCCGTTCATGACGCATCAACTTTGTTACAGTAAACCAAGTAACCTGTTTTCTTACTTGTCGTTCTTGTTTTCATGACCAAACTCTTACTGTGATTGTTACGGAAAATTTTCCATGGTTATTCAGAAAGTCTTACTGCAAGTGGGTTGTTTTTTCATTTCTATTATGTATATTTTCGTTTAGTTGATAGAAATCTTACGATGACAAAACTCTGTTGAGTACTGCCGAAATATCTAATATTTGAGCTAACACTATCAACAACTACGTTTTTCGATTACATTAGAAAAAGACACTGGCTAAGTTTGAAAAATATTGACGCACACCACTCAATTATGAACGTGTGTTTCATATCTGATAGCAACAAAAAGTTGTTAGCGCGTACTGGATTATTTAGGCAAACGGAAATAAGGGATGTGAACAATTTATCTGTCAAAGATAAAAAAAGCTGTTAATCGCGGTATTTTCAACAGTTGTGACTCCTCATATGTATATTTATGGAGAGACTATTTATGAAGCACATAAACTGAAGTTGAATTTCATTCACCGACCACAGTACTTGAAGAATCCGCCTACATGAAGTAATTTTTGTTCTATGCCATATCAACGTTCGTTTCGCATTAACTGCTCGAACTTTTCACTGATGTATATGCATGCATGTATCTTCAATAAAATGTAATTTCACTAAACTATTGCTATAAAATCTGTTTGTGCAAATATAATCTTGACATTAATATACCGATCAAAATTCAATTTTTCTGGTTTGGATGAAACCTACAGCCTTCGACATCTTGCTCAATCAAATTAAGGACTATACACTCTCTGTATTGTGCAATTTTGTTCCTGGAGTTATGCGTAGCCCATATATATCGAAACACTATTAATGCGGCTAAATGTACTATTCTGTTTAATGATAATGCAAAGAAATAATGTCTCAACATTGCCACCTTAACAATATGAAGCTGAAAAAATCTTCAATTCCAAATTTATAATTGAAATACACTTACGAATTATTCAACATAGTTATTTGGTAAAGATATGATGATTACGATTCGGGCACATAACCTTGTGGGTAATAACAATCTCTTAAAGTTAACATAGTTCTAGTAGTCGTCAATCACTGTAGATGTATGAGTGGACTGTGTATGTGGGCGGGGATAGAGGTGGTATGTTCAGAGTTGCTGTGTATTTCGTGACGAAGATACGAACTTCAGGAGTTCCCAAATCGGAGGCAAAACTGTCTAGATTCAAAACACTTGATTACTGAACGAGGAACGTATTTTCTAACTGTGTAGAAGCTCCATGAAAAAAATATTCCTTGCAGCAAGATATATGAACAGACAATTTTAAGACTCTTACAAATTCTGACCAAAACAAAATACAGTGGTGTCACCAGTCGAAACAAGGACTTTAATATAGTTGAGCAAACAAATCGAATGAAGTCAAAAGCAAATGGTCAGTGTTTTTGAATCCTCTACTAGAATAAGGTCAAAACATTCGTAACAAGAGGGAAATAAATTATTGTCGCATTGAACTTCGATAACAAAATGCTTTAATTCTTAAACAGTTATAAAACGAAGTGCAAAATATCAAATTAAAATTGAGACAGAATATAAGGATAATGAAAATGATAACAGTACAAACAAATACCAGGAGGGAAACTATGGTAGTTGCATCTGCGTTGAAGCTGAGGGCCTTGGGAAGGGAAAGGAACAAATAAACTCTTTCTTTATACATAAATCGGGTTTGAAGATTTTAATTCCTATGACTTCCTATATGCTAGCAATCAGAAGCACACTTTGTATGGAATCTTTATGGTTGAGATTTTTTCAATCTTACGTTTTGTATTTACCAGATGGGAGAGTATTGATCCTTTGTTGTACTTTACTGTTCTTTTACCTAACCACCCTAAATCGATAATAAGCTCGCTGGGTCGTTCTACCTATGTAGATGCCTCCATAGTGGCAGTTAAATTTACAAATACATATAGATGTGGCCAGGCTCTGTAGCCTACCACACAACTGCACTGGCACTGCACAGCGAGCAGCAACTTGGAAACAAAGTATGGTGCAAGGAAAATTTCTGAGTTTTAGTATCAATGACTTTGCAGCTCCCCCCCCCCTCCCCCCTATGAACTCTGAAGCTGGATATAATATTTCATGGTATTACCTAAAAGGTACTTTTTCTAACCGTTTTTATTTTGGTGGTCCTCACAAACACCTCAGAACAACGATTCTCGTTTAAGGAGTTCTGCGTTATCGTCATTTCTTTAAAAGTGTTAGCTGTGCAAATCTTCCCGGCTCAGAACACCAGTGGCTGAATCAAGTTCCACCCTTAGGTAAGGCGAACAAGTGATCAAAAATGTGTATACTAACCAACACACGACTTCCTATGAAGTATACTGCCTCTAATACTGCTATCTTTTCGTCTTGATAGCAAAACGTTAAGAAATGGCAGGGGTCCGTCTTTCTTTGTTTCGCGGGTGAAGTCGATTTCCGGATAAGTACTGTTGAGTGCATCGAGAAGGGTTTCAGGACTGGTGCCATTTTTCCATAGAATAAAGTGTCATCCGTATGTCTGTAATTGGGCAGTTTATCTATCACGTCACGCAGTAGTCTACTTACCGATTTCTCCATAAATATATGAGCCAGAAGGTGACCCAATGGTCAACCTATTGCCATACCTTTATCTGTTGGTAAATTTCATTCTCACTTCTAAAATTAATATTCATTGTCCAACAGAGGAGAAGCTGTCTTGGGATTTCAAGTGGTATACCTACCTCTACTTTGCTACCAAGCAGTGAATCACAAGTAAAAGCAATTTTTCCCGGAAGAGGAACATTGGTAAACAAGTGAATAAAATCAATAGAAATCACTGTTTTTATACTTAGGTTCTTGTCTTGAAAAAAATCCAAGTGTTCTGAGGGCTATACCGGACCACCTAACATTGTGATTGTTTTAACATATCTGCTATCCATCTTGCTACTCTTTATTGGAGTAGGTTGAACATATCTAGGATAGATAGCATTGACACGTTAGGTTTATAGATTTTAAGTACTCTTATTCTCTGCTCCAGGCATTTGTATTCAATTATCTTTGCAAATATCCTATATAGAGATATTACTTTAATACTGAAATTAATTTTGTTTACATACATTGGAAAACAAACAAGTCAACTAATTATATTTTTTTCAAATTCCACGAAATAATTAGCAGAGTGACTTTAACGGCCACCCTAGCAACTGCTGAGATAACCAATTAAGAATACAGAAATCGGATTGGTTAATTCACCGGCTACCAGGGTGACATTTAGAGTCACCCTAATTAGCATTATTTCATTCCAAACGCACTATTACTTACACAAATACAAACCATATCTCATGATATTATTTTTTCTAAAGGTACTGAAATAGAACAGAGAAAGTCGGTTACCCACACAAAGAAATTATGGTCGTGAATAGTATCTGCCCCACCTAAACAAGTTAATAACTATGTAGTAAGAATTATCATTTGTCTGAAATGAGCAAATTAAAGCAATTATGCGATCAAATAGCAAAATGTATCTTTTCAGCTTCTCACATGTTTGCTAATTTAGTCAGCCACCTTCAGTGGGCTACAGAGAATATGACTTTCGATGAATAGAGATTCAAAAGTAAACACATGATTTTTTTATTTCGCAGTCAAAGGTGCAAACATTCCCACTTTCTGCGGTGTCATCTTTTACTGATATATGAAGGTGAAAATTGTCTGCATTATTGTTAATGCCCGTCATGCATTACACTGTCAGTTTAAAATTAACTTAGACGATGGTCAGAATACACGTTTTCCCCCGTAGGAAATACTATATTCTAACTTGTTTTAAGTTAAAATTCTAAGATACTTTTGTGTATCATACAAATTAGGATTGGTATAACTGCATATGTTCATAGTTGGTTTTTATCTGATTTTCATTTCAGTCAGATGGCTGTTATGAAATAGAAAGGAGTAAATGGCTTTGTCCCCCTAATATTGTACAAACGTTTCTTCACTAATCACACCACGGACAATAAAGGCAGTGAATCAGCCTTAAGCAACTGAAAGTTTGGGAAGCTGCAAAAATTAGCTTCCATTTTCTCCAAAGGCTGTATGTTTCCCCAAAATTTCCTGTGAGACTCTGGACTGGTTTTCCCAAAACTTTCCCCATTTCAATTTGATTGCGTTCATCTGTAATAACAACGAAGATTTCACTTCTCAACAAAACTAATTCCCTAAGTTAAGAATAAAAGACTCAAGAAGGTTAAGAAATTACAAGTAAACTTTAAAATTCTCTAGATAGGAATTAAAATAATTCGCCTGCAAAGTAAATTGTTAGCTCAAAATACTGTTATTGTATTGGCAAACCACAACAAATACACATTCATCTTGTAACATGAGCTCAGTCAATAAGCAGTTCTCAGAATTTACAAAACATGAGTTTGTCATAGGTTGTTTCCCTCTTATCAGTCCAGACCAGTTTTATGTCAGATTTAATGCATGGAATTTCTATTTGTTTCTGGACACATATGCTGGTAGACCAACATAACGCTCAAATAAATATCTTGGTACATTGCTTTGATCTATAATTGGTTGTAATGGGTCGTCCAAATAATTGTCGTTCGCAATAGCATAAATCTCATACTCATTTTCTCGACCACATGTTTGTTGATTAATTGGTGGGGATGGAGGTAGATAAAGATATGGAAACTTTTTACCACTGAAGAGGTCATATTGATCTCTCGACCATGAAATATCATCTTGGAGTTCATTCTCATGAGTTAATGGTTGGTTTAAATCGTTTGTTTCATTATAGCTACTATCAATAGTAGATTGTTCTTTGAAAACAGATCTGACATTTGAATTTCTCCGATGATCTGAATCACGATTGGATTGTGGGTCAGAATGGAGGATTTTCTAAACATCGAAAAAGAAATTTATGAAGTATGAAATTACTTTTATTGCTCAAACCAAAGAGATATTTGTACAAAAAATGTCTATAATTGGCGGATGCTCTGTGAATCACCAATCTTATACATTTTAACTAGGAAAGTTATTTTATGGTTAAATGCAAGAAACATCTAAGTAAACGTTTCACGATCGCTGGACAGTGGGAAAATTTTGAGCTACACTTTGATGTAGGTAGCTGATCTCTTCGCAGGTTCCACTTTCACTTTTCTCATATGAAGAAGTTGCAAAGTCTCGTCTGATGTCTTGCAGATAAAAACAGATGGTGATAACATATATGAACTTCAGTTACACATAAACCCATAATTGTATCCTTCAGTCACTAAGCAACATACTGTCTTACTCCCATTTATGTTCACAACAGTTTTTATCCCTATTATTGCATCTTCAAGTTAAATAACTAGGATTTCTTGCTCATATTCAACGTCCAGTATGTATATAGAGTACGACTGTGATGAAGGTCATCTATAAGCAATTTATTGAGTGACACCAGAGAAAGTAAGGAGTAACAACACTAAAGTGGTGAACATTTTCGTGAAAACAATACGCGATATTGGGTAGAATTAACCTGCGCAAGATGGTGAATTCACAGTTAGCCTAGTAGAACATAGTGGTACGTAGGATAAGTTGGCTTTTTTGAAAGTTGTGAATGCATTGTATTGTTAAGTATAATCATCAGGTTAGATCGGATTTTACAAATTAAAAGTGTCTGCTACTGTCATTTTATCCGTAACAAAACTACATACCAGTTCATTGAACTGCCATTCCATGACTTTTGTAACTTGATATTTTAGTGCTAGACAAAAAGTGGACAAATCCTCATCATTGTGATCCAGTTCCAGTTACATCTATTGCAGTCTTCAATCCTCGATTACGTTTGTTTGGTCAGTCCGTCAGCATATACAAGTGTCCGACATTGAGGAGTGATGATCTAATATGCCACATCTTGGATCAAGATATCAAGATACAAAGCAGCAAGTCGGAATAAAGAGTAATAGAGTGGAGAGAATCAAAGGTTACAGAATCCCACAGAAAGTGAAGAAGAGTAGGTAGGGTAAGTAACAAAATCCATCATAGCAGCTGAGATGAAGATAAGGTACAAATGCATGTGTACCACCAAGATGGATTCTTAACCTAGACTCATAAACCAAACATTTTGGCTGTCATTGTTGTTGCTGGTGGATTTCATTGAAGAAACCTAAACTTCAGTGTGTCAACAAAACAGTCAGAGACTTGGTGAATTCACATTAAGTCGTGTTATTACTACCCTAAGCATCACTTCCGACTGATCCTATTCTGCCTAGCGTAAAGCTATCGAATCTAACTGGTCCAACATGTTTACGGATAAAAAGAAAGAGGCAGTTAGGATCACGATTTGGTGGACGTTTTGGTTAAAAAAATCTAGACAGTGAATATCGGTGAACAAATGGTACGGATGTTGAGCCTTGTGATCTACTATACGCAATGATGAGTAACGCTTATCCAAGCAGTCTAACTTGTTTTTCTATAAATCAGCAAGCGAAGAAAATCTTTAGTCTCTGGATTGAATTCAGCAACATATCCTTTCTTTGCATACCATGAAGCTCTCACAATTAATAATACTGCTGATTCAGATTAATATTGGTTTAATATGCGTGATACCAGTAAGCCGCTTCATTGTATCCAGATTTCAAATTTTATAAAGCGATTGGTTTTCCTGCTCTTAATTCAGAATTCGAACATAATAATTCTTGACAAAGGACTCTATTGCATGGAAGAAACTCTGTTGTGCAATAGTCTTATTTTAGAAGCTAAAGACAGACAGGTACTAATGGCACAAGGATCAGTCTAACTACTATTAAGACCACTCCCCCCCACATACTAGTCACACTACTAATACTAGTGCGAAAAAGTGACGAGATTGAGTGGTCAACACAGAAAGACCATTTTTAATATTTCACTATTACTTAATGTAAATTCACTAGTAAGCGATCTATCACAGTGCTAACTAACACTGTTCTCTTCAATTGGTATCTCTGCTTCTTGACTAGATTAATACTTCCTGGCCTGCGTTTTTCTAGGATGGAGATATCAGTATCTTCCTTTGAGGTGATGTGTATTGGGAGCCCGAATGTAAAACAGTGGTTCTGAGAAGTCGGGTGGCGTCAGCATTCAACACCATGAGGAATATTGACAGGAAGACTATCTGAGGGACCATAGTAGGAACACTGGTGACTGAGTTGACAGTAGGAAATGTAGAAGTTTTGGAGTTCGACGTTGGGACCGGTTGGTGAGATGTTTATCTTAGCGCTGATGTTAACCAATCTTCAATTTTGAGGGCTTTCTGCGTCAGATAAGGAGTTTCAGGAACAGCCATTTGTTTTACAGATCATAGAAAGTCCTCCAAAAACAACCATCCACTGTTATACATCGTCCTTGTAGGACAACGCATAGATATTAACAAGTTGGCAAAGTAGCCAGATATTTGTTGAGTATAAAGGTAGCTACGATGTAAGCACTAAACATGAATTAATAGGAGAAGCATGTAGATAACCTGCAACAGAAGGCTGACTGTCGAACGACCCTCAGTCGATGAGGAAAGAACTTTGCCTGCGGAAGAGTTGGATATGATTGAGGAAGCTTTACGAAGAGAAGAAAACGTCAGTACTATAGAAGAGTAAAGTATGTTTCTTCGTGATTACACTAGAGTTAATGGGAGCGATAGATAAAGGCCAGTGAATGTTAGAAAGTGAGCAAACGGTCAGGACTTTTGTACTGGTTTATACTGAAACAGCTGTGTCCTTGATGAGGAAAAAAGTAATCCCAAAGCTTAAGATAGCGTGAATTAACACCTCAATCGTGTAGACATAAGCTTGATATTGCAGGACAATTAGTCATTGTCACCACTGACTTAAGATGAACAGTTTGAGATGCCGATTTTTTTCAGAGTAATGTGTTTCGTGTTTCAAAAATAAGATTTTGACTACGAAAAACAAGTTATTTGATACATGTGTGGAAATAATTGAGTTTCAGAAGTGGAGGTACTCAAAACACCTCATATAGATGCATCCATTATCACACAACTAGTCAGAAACTATGACATTTTATTTCCTGATGGCTGACACCCCAATGGCTACTGTGATAAAAAGAAACTCAAAACCCGTGTGGTGAATCCGCAAGTGACGACTTCACTATGTGTCAAGTTCTATGTCATATAAAAGCCGAGATTGAGAGACATATCCAAGAAATACTAAACAGTGGAGTCGTTCTTGTGACAAAACGCAGTGACTGACCTATAAAGTCAATGTAGAACCTAGCCCACAGGTGCATTGGCTCAGGCTGCCACACTTCACAGTAATACATCAAGAACAGGTGAATAGAAAAGGAGTGATATCAAGGTAGATAAAGTAGTGTGAGAGAAAAAGCAATCGGAAGATAAAGACTAGTATGAATATTCGAGCTAGGGAGGATGTCAAGGAGTGAATACATCAGCATCATCGTGACCGGTTTTCAACCATGTCCCCAAAGGTTCTCGACCAATCATTTCTTTCGTCTCGCGGACCCCAACCAGGTAGTTCACATCTCGTCATACAACTCAGACCGGCAGTAAGAGACTTCATCGACTAGTGTCAAGTATTGGTCTGGCCACCCTGAGCCCTCTTCCAACCTAATCCAACTTCCTTTAGTATGCCACGTAGACGATGGCAGTGGCTTGGCATCAGTAGTACATGTCTAGGCCATCTCAGTCGACTAAGGAGCACCTCACCAGTCAGTTCACCTTTCTTGCCTAGTATCCTTCACCTGACCTCAACATTGCTCATACGGTGATTACACGAAACACGAGCAATACTGCAAAGACACATTTGATCAGAACCATGTAACCGCTCCATAACTGCTACTTTGAAAGGCCATGTTTCACAGCCTTACAACAGGATGAAAAGGGCTGCAGTGCAGCATACTCGTCCTTTGATATATAGTCGAATATCTCGCCAGTCGGCACCGCAGGTGACGGAGTTAACAAATGCCAAACGAGCCTTCTATATCCGAGCTGAGATTTCGTCAGCAATTAGCTTGTCCAAGCTGATGCAACTCCAGAAGTGAGGTGGTCGATACACACTCTACCGCTTCCCTACCCATCACTGAACTGAGAGTGGTTTCAGACCAATCCTGGAGTATCAGTCATCTTACATTCAATAAGTGCGGAAAGCATGCCAGGTATATATTCTGCGTTGATTTTAGGAAGTTAAATAGTGGAGCAAAACTGAACCCTGACGAGGTGCCAGCAACAAAAGAAAGGACAGCTACCGATAATGGAAAGTGACAGATAAAACAGCATTCATCGTCGGATAGAAAAGGTATCAGTTTGTTCAGATGTCATTCGTAACAGCAGAATTACCACTTGCACTTAAGTAGTTATTAACTTTATCACCTATGAATTCGAAAAAATATTGAGATCTGAGAAAATGCTTAGATGATCCAGACCTAGAAGGAAGAGCACTATCTAAAACCAGTGGAAACAGTGTTAAGTTGTGTTTGAATTGAAAAATAATCCAAAACAAAATGACAGCTACCAAAAGGAAGCAGTATATTGTTGGGTATTAAGTCAGAAATTGCGAAGTGAACCATTACATAAGAAAATTCAGAGAATCAAAGTTAAAGCACGATCAAATTCGCAGTGAAAATTGAGACATTTCATGAAAAGAGTAGCGTTCTGCAGCCGTCTTGTCAAAAATTTCAATGACATAGCAGCACATGTGTTCAGTGCCTCAGTGTTCAGGTGTAAAAAAGCGACGACAGTAAAAATTCATATAAGTGGTGGACACCACGGTGATTCACCTATCAGATATATTATAATTATTTGTCCTTTGGGTTCCTAGTGGAACATAGGGATTCAGTAGCATATAGCCATTTCACTCTGCTCTCTCCAGTCTTTGTCACCTGGCTCCACCACTCCCAACAAGCTTTCATTT